AAATGAGAAATATTTAAAGCTTAGCCCAAGCTTTTCCACATGCTGAAACTGATCCCAAGCCATAGATGTTTTGTAAAACATTGACTCTTACCTCCACATTAATTATCAATTTCTCCAGTTACAGAGACAAAAACAGGCACCAAAGATTTCAATAACAAAAGATAATTTGTTCTGCAGTTAGTTCTAGTCCTGATTTTCACTCTGTGCTAATAAGCCTGGATCTAAGTGCATTTCTAAAGTGTGCATTTTAAAAGGTGATTTTGTCTGTATAAAACATTTTCAGCATACATGAATAAGCACAAGGCTCTTCATGGTTTGTGCCTTATTTTACCCAGTAATCACAACATCAAATAACAGCATTTGAACATACTGCAATGCTGCTTTCAGGTTAAAAAACTCCCAACAACCTGGGCCTTGGTCACCACTGCATTATGCCAGAGTCACTTCAATCAAAATTAATGGAATGTTACCAGAATAAAAGGGATTGTAACAAAGTAACCAGCCACAGCCATTATCTCTTACTGAAATTCAGCATGCAAGCTTGAGTTTGTTATTAAACCATGATTATATGGTGTAGTAGTATGGATGGTCTTTTCAGAAAGACTAAACTCATCATTCTGGAGATACACCTGTAATACAAAATACTTACACCCTGGTGATATGACAGTATAGCAATGAGCAAAGAACAGAGCCTAACGAAGGAATGCACACTTCAAGGAGTCAAAGTGAGGTTTCATATAAACAAGGGCAGAGAAAAAAAAACCTCTACAACCCTGTTGTTAAGGAATCAGATATTGTTAAGGCCTCCTTGGACCGTTCTATTTTCATCAGGAAAGAGGAGATGAAAAATTATTCTCAGGGGTAAAATCAAGGACAAACACAATCTCAATATTAAAACAAGACTGACAAAAATCTCTGTGCCTTTGTCCTGCCAGCTCTGTTTTATGCCTCAGAAAAATGAGCACATACAACATCAGAAATTTCAGAACTGCACAGAGAAATATCAGAAGCGCAGCCTGAAAGCAGATTTGTTCATTATCAAGAGCTGCAGAATCATCCCTTATCGTTACTGGCACACATTTGTAACCTCCCCTCCAAATATTAAAAACTCCAGTCTTTGCAGACCTCTGCAGTGCAGGCACAATCAGGGGGAACTTTCTAATGGGGAACAGCACTGGAAACTGCAGTGTGGAAGACAAGAAGAGAACTAAGCTGTTCTTTAAAGGCCAGGCACTTATCAACATTAGGATGAACTCTAGCAGTATCAGGATGTAGTTTTAATCTATACCAAAGCCATTTTCACAGTGGCAATCTTGCTACCAGTGAAAGTGCATTTTACACAATAATGACAGTTGTAAGGAATCAAGTCATTGTCTTTTAACTTCCACTGCAGAGCTCACAGGCAACACAACACATGAGCATTCCAGCAGTCATTCAGTAACTCATGAAGCTGTACATCTGCAACACACCTAACCTCTCATCCCAACATTAACCTTACAGTACAGATACTATCCAGTGAGCCCAGTTAGCAGTATCCAGTGGAAGACAAGACAGCAAAGGCATTAGGTTGGTATTCTGTATCCAACAGCCTGGACAAACGTGCAGACTATGGCAAGGTCCCATCTATTAGCACCAGCATCTCTGGTTCAGAGACATGCCTGTAATTTGAATCAATGTTTTAAAACAACAGGTTATGAGTTTTTAACCATGTTCAGGTCAGAGTCCCTATTCCCTTACCACCAATTGACTTAAAACTAAAAAATCACTATGAAGGGGCTTAATAAATACATATACAATAGTGAAAGAGATTTCACTTGCAATGGAAAAAGAAACCACCTGCCCTGGAAGCAGGGTGGTGGTGTCAGGCCATGCTCTCCTCCCAGCATCTTGCTGCACTTGGAGCTTGAGCCACCAAGTGCAAGCTCAGGAAGGGTCTCATTTTTATTGCTGTCAGTTCAATCCACCGCAAACACATTCTGATTCACTTTTAAACATATTCTGTAATCCAAAATAAAAGGGCTTTACAAAACCATAAATAAAGCAGATTGCAAAATACACCACGCTTAAACAAACTGACTCAGTGCTCTAGTTAATGTACTGCAGTGAGCCCTCAATATCTGTATGTTTAAAGTGTGGCCCTCTATAATGCTTTTTTTTTACATTAATATTTTCTTTTTTTCTGCTCAATTGATACCACCCACATTTTTCATGAATTTACAAAGAGGGAGAGGACTGCAAATAAATACAAAAAAACCCACAGTTAGCACTAAAATACTGTTATGATCATGTACTAAAAGATGTATTGAAAAGGTGAGCACTAGAACTGTAAAGCACTAAACAAAATCATGGCTCAAGCTTCACTAGGAAATACAAAACAGACAGGACTTCAATTCACATTAAAATAAGGCTTACTGTTGGCATGGGAAATAAAATCCCCCATCTCTTGCCTCTTGGCAACTTGAAAAGCAAGGACCGCAGCAAAGGTTTCAGCAGAGGAAAGCAAAAGCTCCTTAAAGTCATGCAGAAGAAAGCCACCAAAACTTCCCCAAAGCCTGAAACAAAACAAGTTCACACACCTCAACCAACAAAATAGTGGGAAGAAATCCTACAGAACACGGTTCTTCTCTGAAATGATTCGTCATTCTCCCCCTTAACCTGGTTCTTTTTATTCTCTGGTCCTAGACATCAGTTTCCTTCATAAATATCTCATCTTCAGCAGAACCAGAGGTTAATCCTCACTACCTCATCATTAGAATTGCATGCAAGAGATCTTCATGCTAAGCCCAAAGGAGTACTGTGGAGAAATAACCCAAGCTATTAACTCAGGGCTGTGCTGAGCAGCACACTCCCATTTGCCATTACCACAGGGACCTCCAGCATGAGGTCAGTTCATTTGGTATAGCTGTGTATCAACTACAGTAAGTTCAAGCTTCTACAAGCAGTTGTTCCAACACTAAAGCTTGAGCTGTTTGGTGCTTTTCATCGACAGATGAAGGAGTGTGTCCTACGGTAAAGCTTCTCTGAGCCCTGTAAGCATGTGGTTAGGAACTTGGTGCTGTCATCTCAGAACAGATGGCTGAAATGTTCACAAAGAAACCAATTACATGATCAATTGGAGCTGTCTAATAACCTGCTGTGCTTTTTGCACATCAGTACACATAACACTCTCCACTCTACAAACTGAGGTTGCATGAGCACTAAGAAGGGTGAAAGCTCCTGTGAGTACAGAGGTGTTTATAAGAGCCCCTATCATTTTCAGACTGCCAAATACTAAAATACAACCAGAGAGATCACAAAGAGTTTATAGGTGTCAAATGTTCTGCAAAAAAGCTGCACCAGCTTTTGTGTTCAGGCCATCTTCTCTTAGTTTTATTAATTGTGTCTGAAAAACATGTAGCAATAGAAGGAAAAACAACAGCGAAGCCTAAAAATGCTGCACAAAACCAAACAAGGCAGAACTGAATGTTAACTTCTATATAATTCAGTTTGGTAAATGCCAGGGATGAAGCAAGTATGAAACAAAACATGAGAATGACTTTGGAAACTAATATTAAATCCCATTTTTTTCCCCGATTGTGTTTATACCAATATCACTGCTTACAATGCATAGATTACTTTCCACACCCGATCACAGGTAGAAATACTCAGAATGTGAATTTAGGAGAAGCAATAGCCTTTCTTGCCCATGTTTCTGTTTAATAATTCAGGTATTTCAATCAACCTTGTGCTTTTTCAGAATAAAACTCTGCTACTCTTAAGAAAAAGAAGGGTTATGTACTTTCTTTCTTACACAGGCAAAGTCAGCTCTAGTTCATAACCATAATAACAGAGCTGATCCCAACGCTCATACAGCAGGAGAGTGCAGGCTGAGCTTTAACTCAGAGATTGAACAACACTGCCCCTTCCCAGCCAGAGGCAGGCAGGGGAAAAGCCAGTCTGTTAAGGATGCACCATTTAGAAGCATTAGGGTACCAGATGAAATCAAAGTGTGCAAAGTGGTAGAAGCGGAGAGAATTAGCCCCTTCACTGCAGTGTGCAGAAAGAAGTTACAGACTACAGCAGACTTCTTTAAACTCACCCAGTAATTCCCACTACTGCTGATACAGTAGAAAATAGCCAATTGTAGTTTAAACATAATGAAATCCTTACTTGCAAGCCAACAAAACTCCATCAAAGATAAGGGACAGGTGCATGTTTTATTATGTACCAGACTGTCCTTAAAACTATTGTATTTCCTGGAAAACAAATCCCAAAGCCAAGCTCACAAACCTCTTTCTATTTTATGATGGTGTTGGTGAGTTTACTTTGTACTTCATTAATGTGACAAAGTACCTGCAAGGTCTATAATTCCAGACTGCTGGTGCAGAAGGCAAAGTTAACCTGCTTTAAAAATCAAGAAACACATAAAAGCTCAAGAACAATTGTTTCTCTTGGCTACTTCAGTATTTGTGTCTCAGCAGTCCACAAGTCTGTCAGGGCCCCTTATGAAAAAGCTTTGATAAATACTGGCTTTTCACTATAAAGATAATATTTCACACAAAACACAATGGGAGTACACAGAAGCAGCTCGTCTTTTAGCATGAGGAGAGGGCAAAGACTCACTGTACTAAACAAAGATTTCTGAATTCCTAAAAACCAACATTTAAAAACAGGACCCACAAAATGACATAGTAAAAAATAAAAGGGGGGGGGGGGCAGAGAACTGTGTATTTCTTTAATTTGGGATATTTAAGCCTATTTCTCAGAACATTGCTTGAGATTCCTTGAGGAATCTGGAAGAAAAAGAAACTGGAGTACTCAGAAGTGAGTCTCAAATGACTGTCCCTGGTTAGTTTACAGAGCCAAGTAGCTGCTACCAGCATTTAAAGACAGTTAATTATTCATACTAAGGAGAAAATCATTTTAATGATTAACTGCAACTGTTTCACACTTCTCCCCCGTAAGACACAGAGCAGCTGCACCTCCTCTGAGAGCACAAAAAAAAAAAAACAGGAGAAGAGTTTAAGAGAAGACGATTGAAAGTGGTTATGGGACCACCTGATTTTTATTTCAGACTTTTTGATTAGTGAAAAGGAGGAACCACTTCACTCTGATCCAGAAAGCAAGGCAGCAGCTCCTGCAGATCCTGAGCTTCAGTCGTTTCTACTAGACAGTACTCTCTTCATTCCATAATTAACCATCCAATGCCAAATGAGATCCACATTTCCAATTCAACACCCAACATGATTACAGTTGTCAAATTTTGTTGTAAAACACCTGAGACATCTCAAAGAGGAACAAACATTTTTGCAATGCAACAGCCCAGAACAACTCCAGATGCTGGGTCCTTGCACTTAAAAAACCCAAACCACACAGATGCAATCTAATCGAATTATGGGGTTTTTCCTCCTTCCAGTACAGTTCTCAGTTCTGGTTCCTACCACTTGACTGGGCTTTCCCCTCGTGACTGTTCTGTCTTCACATAAGCATCATACAGTTCTCTCAAACAAAACAACAGTTCCTCTAGGTTGTCTCCTGTCAATGCAGACAACGCAATGACCCGGTCAGCTACGTGTTCTTTAAGGAGTGGCAGATTGATCCTGGACTGAGCAAGGTCAATCTTATTCCCAATGACAACACAAGGCCTCTCAGACAATCCTTTTCGATACTGTTCCAGTTCATATTTTAAGTCTTCCAGCTGAATCCATGGCTGAGACACAGAGAGATCCACTACATACAAGAGAAAGCGGCAGCGTTCAATATGCCTTAGGAAGGCCATCCCGAGACCCCTGTTTTGATGAGCACCTTTTATTAGGCCAGGGATGTCAGCAACTACAATGAGAGAAATTCCACAGTGAATCCAACATATCCAACAACAACAACAACAAAAGATCAAACAAAAAGAAACCCCAAGCCAGTTTTTTACTGGACAGTACAAGTATTTCTAGAATTACATCTCAATGCACCAACACCTCACAATAAGTTTAGCTGCTCTTACCTTTTAAAACACCCAAATTGAGTTCATTCCAGAGAAGAGAACACACACATTGCTAGTTTGCTATTAAGGGCACATATAAGTGAATGTGAAATGGATTTTCAGTATTGTTTTGTTTGAAGTTCCTTAGAACCAACAAGAATTCTACAGAACTACTAAACTTACTTCTGCAGTACTGCAAAGAACAACCACAGTGACACAAATTGCCATCAAGGTACACACAGTGTACTACAGTTCTGACCTGCTACTTGCTCATAGTCGTGATAGTGGACAACGCCAACGTGAGGGTTGAGGGTTGTGAAGGGGTAGGCAGCCACTGCTGGCCTGGCACGGGAGATTGCTCTCAAGAGTGATGATTTACCAGCATTGGGAAAGCCCACCTGGAACATAAATACTTATTAAAGCCAAGGTTCTGGGCTAATCCTAATAAAAACCAACTGTAAGCTTCTACAGATGTGGCAAGGTTTTTCCAGGATGAACTTAACGTTAACTTTGCATACTTAGCTCTGAAAAGCACCCTGGTTTTCATGTTTTGTTGCTCCTAAATCCTGATTTATGATAAATATATTTGCTCATGAACATGAAACAGATCCCCTTAACTTTCTTTATGCCATCTTAAGTATTTACTTTGTCCAGAACCAAGAGGGCTCTTTTACCCTGAAATAACGTTATGACACTTCATCCAGCACTTCTCATTTTATCTGTGTTTTCTAACTCCTATTTATTATTTTCCATAAGAATTCAGAATTGGCTTTGTCCTTGACTCAGTTTGGCCTATAAGTAAGACACAAGTTTGGGATTTCACAGCTCTTCATAGACTCAACATCAAAGAATTAAATTGAAACCTGGCCTTCCAGGGAGAAGGCAAGAATTTCCATGTGTCCAACCAGTCAGAGAATTACACATACTGATCCACCAATGCCAACTCTTTTCTTAGTCTCTAAATATAAATTCACAAAATTCTGCTAGACCAGACAGTTATTCTGCAGTTGTTGAACTGCTGTTATGCAGCAAAGCATCATTTTAACAGCTTTACCAGCTGGCCTTAAAACATTTACATGCTTAGATAGGAAAACTGCATAAACCCTAAATTGATTTTGCATTCATGTCTAAATAGTGTATTTTATTTCAGAGGATGTTAACCCTGGAACAAACAAAGTAAAACATTAAATATCTGTAAAGAGAAAAACATAAGGATGAAACAGAAGATGATTTGAAATTTATCAATTTTGGTTTAAAAAAAAAACACAAGAAAGCAGAAACTAATTTAGAAGAACTCTCCATACTGTGCTGTTACCTACAGAATCAGCAGACAGAGCCTCCTGTACACCAGCAGCAAGTCTGTTAATCACTGATCAGTCTCACACACTGCTTTTCTATACATAGTTTTGATTTGAGCAGAAGGAGGATGACATCAAGGATCAAGAGAGTGACAGCTCTGCAAATCACTCTGGACATCCTTCTACCAAGCAACAGCAAGAAAGCATCAAGCTGCATCTCTAAACAAGCAAGCCAAGTGACTAACAAAAACGTTATCAGACATTATTTCTTCAGTCAGTCAAGTGTCATCCTACAATGCTAAGAAAGTTGAAGAACCGACAGTGACACTCACCAGTCCTGCATGAGCTGCTGTCTTTAGTTCCAGATGGAGGATCCTTTCCTGCCCTGGTTCTCCTGGAGTAAATGTTGTTGGAGACCGGTTTTCATTGGAAAGAAAAAAGCGATTACCTTTCCCTCCAGCTCCTCCGTAAGCTGCAACATACTCTTCTCCATGTTGAGTGAGGTCAGCCACAACTTTCCCATCCTCCTTAACCAGTGTACCTACAGGTACCTTAAAGAGAAGAGAGATGCCAAGTGTTAAACTGAACTTGAAGTCTGCAGCAGAACTGTCTTCAGCAGATCCCTTATCAGCCGACTTCAGATTTGTTGAAAATCATTCCTTCATATTGTCAAGATTAGGAATCCAGAAAGAGAAGTGGATTTCACAAGACACCTTCTGAACCCAAACAGCACTGGTGAGACATCTGCAGTCCATTCAAATGTTAACAGAACCATAACCCTCTTTCTTTCAAGAAAGGAGAGAAAAGCAGCCTAAGCACAGTAGTGAGTTGAGAAACATACTGCCTCTCATAACCAAAACAGGCATGCTGGAGAAAAAAAAGTATGAAAGAAAAATTCTGCTCCCATTGAAGAAGTTCTGTGTTACGACTCCTTTAGGAGTATGACCTATAGAAGTAGAGCAAATCAGGACAGTATCTGTTTTGGCCAGATGTTATCTTCCAAAGAAGTCTTATTTTTAAAAACACCTTTACAAGCAGCTTGATCTGCCTGTGTGCCAACCAGCCCTGTCTTAGCAGACACAGCACACACAGCTCCCTGCAAAAACACACGAGATTCTCTCACAATAACCTTGAAAAGCAGCAATGTTAACACAAAGTTAACACAACAGCATGTGTTTAAACTTCATTTACTTACTTTAACATACAAATATGCACCGTTAGCTCCATAACAGTTTTTAATTCCTCCTCTCTCTCCATGGAAACCCTGATAAAAGGGGAGGACTGAAGAAAGTGATTTCATTTGCTGGTCAGCTGCAAAGCAAAATGCACATATTTTAAACAGCAGAACAGGCACAGAAGAGCAACCTCTTGACTATTCTTTCCCTTTAAAGTATTGCATGAATGAATATCCTATTTACTGTCTCAACATATGAGGTAACTACTAATATTAAGGGAAGTTAAGATGAAGTTTAACTGCCTTTACTATTTGTTTATTAACCATGCACTTTATTAAGTGGTCATTCAAAAAATCAACCATTGCAAAATGCTCTGGAAAATTCATGTTATAGATTTTGCAGCAGGGCAGAGGCAGAAGCAGCTTTATCCATCTTAAAATTTGCTCAGATCCCAGCCTTATCATAACATAATCAGGCACCAGCCACCAAAATGTCTGCAAAATACTCCGACTATGAAAATGCTTTCTAAGGCATTTATGTCCCTGTTACCACAGCTCAGGACAACGCTTAAAAAGCAAAACCATCTTATACAGAAACACCCATTTTCACATTTTTGACATTTACCATGCCTGTAGGGTTGTTTTTGCTGGGGTGGTGGGGGTGTGTTAAGGGATAAGACAACACAAAACAAAACAGATTTACTAAGTTTTACCTTTCAAAATGACATGACCCCCATCACCCCCGTTTCCACCATCAGGACCTCCAAATATTTTTCTGGGTTCACTATAAAAAGAATGTCCTCCTCCTCCTCCTCGTCCTCCAACCACATGCACTCTCCGGTGATCCACAAAGTAGCGGGTCTGGAAGAGAAGTACAGTTTATCAGAGTGATCTGCTAAGAAGTTAATGTTCTGCAAAACTCAGTAATATGCAGACTTGCTGTTCTGAGTCATGACGGGGGCCATTCAACAGTAAAAAAAAAAACAAAGAAACTGGAATTCTGCTGCTATTCAGAGATCAGCCAAATACAGCATACTAAGAAAAATAATTTTGCTTTTTAAGTATTTTTAAGAACCCCATTAAAAGTATGTGCCTGAGGCTATGTTGATATAACCAATGCAGCAGCTCAGATATCCGAGGTATAAAATTCACATGAAGGGAACTAACAACAGGGAAAGCATCCTGTTAATACAGTCATATAATGCTGGCAAGCAGCTCAAGGAAGGGCCCACACTATAAATAAAAAACACTCAGTAACTCATGAAAACAATCAAAAATATATACATGAACTTTTTACTTCTTTAAATTGAACTGAAATTTGCAAAAGGGGCATAGTGCATGTGTGGGAAGGATATTCTGACTGATTCACTGCTTTCTACAACAGGTGATGAAATTAAAGCAAACTTCAATCTTGTAACAACTAAGAAAAGTATTAAAGACAAAGAATAAAACACAACTGTAAACGCAAGAAGAGGGAATCTTAATTTATGCCCAACCAGTTGCTAAAAATATATAAAGAGAATTCTACGTCTTAGCACTATTTCCAACATTAACTTCAGATTTGACTGATTACACTGCACTATGTTTCAGCTTTTCTGTCAGCAAAATAGGTTTGATGATACTGACCCATCCCCAGGAAGCAGGCTGATATCCTCAAGGCAAAACATTAGATAAGTACACTCATATAGGCAGGTGAAATTGCTTACGATGGGGATGAAAAGAGATAGTATGACCTTGACTTGTGGTAACACCTGAATTCTGCCCATTACTAAGGGACTTCCTAATAATGGAAGAAGTCCAAATAAGTAATCAGGGTCACTTTAAACAGGCCAAACAGTATTTGAGGGAGGAAAAGTCGTCTTCATGTTATGATGCCGGAAAAATAACTACCGATAATCAGTTATACTGTGACCGGTGATTTCTTAAAAAGCCTTTTATAAAAGCATTTGGCACCACCACACGGCGAGACAGGAAACTAGTGCTTTAAATGGGAAGTACATAGGAAGAGCATTAGAAAACAAGATTTTCCACAGACGCTTAATTAGAAAACGAACATGAAGAAAAACGTTCCAGGGCCTGCCGTGTCTCCGACATAAAGCGCTGCGTGTTTGGCAGCTGACTGCTATGCGTGAGACACAAAACAGCCTCTTAGCTTTAAAGCTATGTAAGGCTTTTTGCTCCCTCGACCTGTGCACGCACTGCAAACTGACAGCCGACTCCCTTCAGGACTTACCAGTTTCCTTTCCGAAATGATTCTTTTTTGCCTCAGCCGCCTGTTCTTCGAGCACCTCACGCACGTTGTGGAGAAAGGCACCGGCCGGCCTCCCCTCGGCAGCGGCACCGGGCTGAGGAGAACGACTGGCTTCCACAGCGGCCGGCTGCCCAGCACGGCCCAGCACCGCGACAGCATGGCTGGGCTCCGGGACCGGACGGGACAAGACGGAACGGGACCGGAGGGCTCCGGCAGCCGCCGGAACAGCCCGGAGCGCAGCCGCGACCTGTCCCGCCGCTGAGGGCCGAGCCCGCCCTACGGTCGCACGCAGGCGCAATCGCAGCCGCGCTGCTGTGGAGAAAGCGCGGGAAGGCGCATCCATGGCCGCGCTCCGCCGCTTCCACCCCGCAGCTCTCGGCTTCCCTTCACGCACCCGTTCGGGGAAAGCCCCATCCCGCCGTGCTCCCACAGGCCGCAGCGCTGCGAGGCTCGGTCTTGGGATCCCTTTCCTCCAGGGGCGCCAGGAGTGCCCTGCCCGCTTCCGTCTTACGGCGCTAGAAGTCGCTGTCCCCCTGGCAGCGGTCACCGGCAATAACGCCTGTGCCCGGGCCGCCCGTGGGGCTGCGGGTGAGCCAGACCCGTGAGGAGTCCTCCCGCACCATCGGTCACCGTGGCACAGTGCCCCTGCTCCGCCCTGCCTGTGAGGTGAGCTGTGAGAGGGACTTGTGAGTGAAGGGACAAGGGGAATGGCTTTAACCTGCCGGAGGGGAGACTGAGATGAGCTCTTAGGCAGAAGCTCTTCCCTGTGAGGGTGCTGAGGCGCTGGCACAGGGTGCCCAGAGAAGCTGTGGCTGCCCCATCCCTGGCAGTGTTCAAGGCCAGGTTGGACACGGCCTTGGAGCAAGCTGCTCCAGTGGAAGGGGTCCCTACCCGAGGCAGGGGTTGGAGCTGGGTGAGCTTTAAGGTCCCTTCAACCCAAACCATTCTATGAATTGCTCACATCCACTCGGCACACACGGAACGGCTGATCTTCACATATCAAATAATGTGAATTTGGGACAAGCTTTTGTCGTCTATAATCATCCAGGAAGTTATACCAGAGAAGCAGGGGAGAAGGTGCACCTCGAAAGAACTTCCCTGTATCTGTTGTTTCCATTCAAAACTCTGTGCCATAAGAAAAGTACCACCAACTTCATTCTCAGATAATATTTAACCTAAACAGTTTTCAAGCATTCTGTATTACAAACCAGAAAATGATACAATTAATGGAAGAAGTCCAAATGCTGGCATCACTTTGTTTCCACATTAATACATAAAAATGGACAACACATTAAATAAACATTTTGTTATTAACAATAAAAATATTAACACCAAAAATCATGTATAAATTAGGAAATAAATGTACAAACTATTTCCAAAGTGCTCTTTCAAATACATTATATACACAACATTCACGGAGTTCTTAATGTAAGACATTTCAGATTGATGTAATGTTGCTGTTTCATTTGAAGTGGTGTTCATATTCTCTCAACAGTATTTCAGTGCTTTCAAAAAACCACATAAAAGGCATATTTCCAAGCTGGCAAAGAGCAATATTGCATTCTTCTGGCTACCTGTAATATTAACATGGTAAAGAAAGCAATCTTCCTTGCTGTTCCTTGCTATTTGTATGAAAACACCAGCAGGAAAGATGAGAGAAATGAGGACCCACTATTTACTCAGTAATTAAAACTATTAATGTAGCATGGGCAGTGCTTGGACAACATTTAATAGTAAACTCTTTAGTTGTCCAGTTAAAGACTTTACAGAGAAAAATAAAAAGCAGTGAATTGGGAGATCTCTTCTTTTCCTTGTTGTCTTGGCTTTTCAAACCCCAAACTGAAATCCTATAAATACACCAGTTCAGGTAAAGAAAAGGAGAACAACCTACAGAGGGTGTATTTATATTGTAAATTTGCAGTTAATCTCATTAAAATTGCTCACAGAGTGCGGTCATCCTGGCCTTCTGATCAGAGAAGTTTGGCCATGGTATTTCCGTCAGCACTTACATTAGCACTTTATAAGTGCTTTTTATCAACACTTCATAAGAACGTATAAAACTGCCTAGAAGTGACTCACATTGTCCATACTGGCTTTTACATACCACTAGTCTTTATTCCTAAATTCTCCCTCTATAGATATTCTCTCACTGGGTGACCCCATTAATAGTCCCCCTCTCTATATGCATAACACTGATTCGCAATTAAAGCTGAATTCAGCTGCTTATTTGCCACAAAGATGGATTTTTTTTTTCTTTTACTTTTGAACTATTTCTGTCAAAATATCAAAGGAAAATAAAAACTGATGGTGAACTGTAAGAACAACAGACCAAATCATGTGACAGTATTTATGGTCATACTTGTGGGAAAATCCGAACACGGGCAATGGAAGAATCAGAACTAAAGAAGGATGCCAGCCACCTGCTTGCAAAATTTGGCATGAAAATGGATATGGGAGTTACAGAATTTGGAGTGGTATATTTAAGACTGGAGTTTTGCTAGATGGTTTTCTTAGCTAAGCACAATATGAAGCAATACTGATGTCTAGGAGGCTGACGCTGCAGATATGAGAATTCCCTTCTGTTTTCCTTTCCACAGTAGAAATACCTTAGTTTACATGGATATAGAAGAGATGCCTCTAGTGATTAACATTTCCTTGAATATAGGCTTGGATCCTCTTTCTGTACCTTTTACAACAGAAATGTGGATTTAGCAGATTACCTAATTGTAAGACTTGGGCAGGTGTTACAGAAGCTGCAGTTAATTTTATCATATAGTATAGAACTGTCTTCACATAAGGAACATATCCATACCTTTATTCTTAGGAAGTAAAGAGCCATGGATTTCAGAGGCCAGCAGGTAATCTTCAATGCATTCAGTTAGAAAAAGATCAATAACCTGCCAGGACAGGATACTCCCTGTACTGAGACATGACTGAATGGCTCCGTATTGAGCCAGACTGCAGAATAACCTGGCTGTTTTCCAGAACAGGGCACAGCTGTGATCAAATGATCCTAAAGCTATTTGGAAACATCAAGAATGGGGCTAGGGAGGGGGGTAAATGAAAAACTTCTGCATTGTATCAACATACAGTACTATACACAGCACCAAATATCAAACCATTAAAGCACTGTCGTGTTACCAGTAGTGCACTGCTTCATATCCAGCATGAAATGAACACTGTTCACATACAGACGCTGCTTTGTGCTAAGGGGTAACCAACATATTACAATTAATCAAAACTGCCTGTACATCCAGTTCAAAAGATGAAGATACTATTGAAATGAATCTGGCACAGGAACATGCTCTTTTATTGCTGGTAATTTCCATATTGTCCCTATAAAAAAGAGAAATAAAAATGTTGGAGACTAATATATCAGAAGTTTACAAATAGTGAGCTAGGCAATTTCTTTTGGCCTATGAATTTTGAAAGACCCACCGAAGTATCACCAATATGCCTGTACCAAATTATCAGATAGGTTTATAGTGGAGCTAACAGCTGCATCTGCTTTTTCATAGCATAGATTTAGAAGATTTACCTGCTCATAGCCATAAGGCCTCTGTTGCTGAGCGGATGGGCCGGTCTGGGAAGCTCTGTAACTCCCGTATTGCTGCCCCTGTCCCTGTTGGTAGCTGGAATACTGTGAAGAGGCTCCTTGTGCAGGACCTGAGAAGACAGTGAAAGCTGCTACTAAGGCTTGAGGGGGAGTTCTTGTGCTTAACATAATGTAACACATGATGGTAACAAAGTAAGCTCTATGAGTATGAACTATGAGTGGGTTTTGCCCAGACCTCCTCCCCTCTGGCTTTACACTAGAAAGTGTTAGTAATAGTAATGATCTAGTCCCAGTTTGGTTAACATTGCCTGTTCACAGTCAAGTCCCATCACATCTGGGAGAGCCACCAGAAATCCCCTGCCTCAAAGCTCCGATTTAGATTATTCTGATCTCTCTGGACTCTGGTTTTGTACTGAATAGCCTGATGTTTGTATTTGGTTATATTGTACTAAATAAGCTGACAGTTTCTTTCTGATGAAGACTGAGGATACATACAAGATGCCTCTAACTGATAGGAAAGCTCAAAGACATCAAATTCGGATCTTTTTGATGATAGTGGGGAACTCTGCCACTGCTGACTTGAAGGGTTTGAAAGCCCCACACTGGTGTCCACTGCATGCTCAAGTCTCTTTTCTCCTTTCACATCAGCCCCTCACTAAGGAATAAAACCCCTATGATGCTGCAAGAATGATTCTAAGCAAGGGAGCAGTGACTCTCCAGACTGTTGATGTTATTTTTTCCTGTCAACTGCAGAACTGAGATGTGCAGGAGGCCTGAGAATCTAGGCAGTATCCTCCTGCCCGCACTTACCAGGAAGACAACATGAGGCAAACCTGTATTTTCTAACTTTCTTTCAAAAGAGAGGGATTCAGGATAGATTCATGGAATGCGGTGCTATACTAATGTATGTTACTGCCCAGAATCCCTTCACATGCAATACCCAAGGTTAATCAAAGAAATAGTTTTCAGCATATGTTAGCTTAGGATGTGTCAGGATGAAGTACTGCAAACAGTTGGGCAGTCAGTGACTGCTTACCATATCCTTGCTGCTGTCCTGGGTAACTTTGTTGGTTTGGGTATTGCTGCTGGGAGTATGTTTGCTGTTGTGCAGCTCCCTGTTGGTATCCTGCCTGCTGCTGGCTGTACTGGGAATTTCCTAAAGAGGGAAACATTGAAAGAGTTGGGTTATAGGTGAGGCAGGTGTTTCACTGTACATGTGAGTCACGAGGAAGACAAAGACAGAAGTAGCCTTGGTCTGGAACTCAGACAAATACTCTTCTGAAAGAGCTGATTCATTTTTCCAAGCAGGATGTTTATTTCTGTAGTGAATTTTAGTTCATTTGAACAGGAGAGAGGTGTTTGTTTGTATCAGACTATACAGACAAAGAACCTGTTTCTCAAAGGATTTTTTTTACCCCAGAAGTAAACCACAGAGTCCCAAAGGTAAGGGAGCCAAGGTAAAGAGCTGGTTTCTCAAGAAGCCACCCTCCCACTGTATTTTCTCCTAGATACTGATGTTTATTCCCATACCCCAAAACACCACTTATCCAATTGTTACTGGTATGTTTTAAAATACCTTTGATAAAAACTCCATTTGCAGTATCCTGAAACAACCAAATGCACAGAGACTACACAGATGAC